TATCTGTCCATCATTATATCTGTCCGTCCGTCCACCCGTCTGTCTGTCATTCTCATTGAAAGTATATTAATGTTTCAGTTACTTTTGGCACACATGCATGTTTTTGTCATAGTATGTGAGTTATGAAAGAAAATATATTTATATAAACATATTACAACTGCCCCTGGTCTCGCCAGCTTCAAAGAAGGCAGTGTGTGTTTCTGATAGGGAGTTTTCAGATTGAAGGGTACAGAAGAAAAAAAAAATCACAAACAAATATGGCAATATTGCATTTTCTTTGGGGGCTGCGTTCATTTTTATTCTGCAGTATGAGTGAATATTGTATTGCATCTCTGAATTTAAATGGGGTAAAAGACATCAGGAGAATGACTGAGATTACAAAGAAGAAATACTGTTGACTGAATGAGAGAATGAGACAAAATATGTTTTTAAAGCTGTAACATGACACTTAATGTAAGAGTTGCCATCTTATAATGTTCTTGTGATGTTGAAGAAGTTATAAAATAGCATATTTTGAAAATTACAGTTTTTTTTTTAGAAGTTTCATCCGCAGCAGTTTTACAAATGTTTTAGACCCCCTTACACTCATGTGGAATGGCTGATGTGAGGAATATTCCTTAGAGGTGATTTTAACAAAACTTAGATCAAAGTATGGTAGAATGCAATATTTACGTTAAAGACTAAGTGCATGATGGGATATCAATGCTCAATATTTCAACATTTATACATTTAAAATTCTTTTGGAAGATTTTAAAATCACAAAGTCAGACACAACAATGGTGGGAATTCAGAAAAGCACATGTAAAACAGTTTTGACAGCAGTACACTAGTAATGTAACAGTGAAATACAATACTCGAGGAGTTAGTTGAGTCAACTAGAGATTGTGTCTATATGGAGGATCTCACAGCTAAAATGACTAAAAAGAGCTCAGCTATCATCGAGTCGCAGTCATGATGCTATCGTGCAAAAAAATGATAAATGCAGCACTGTGAAAAAAAGAAATGTGGACATGATGCACCTGCAAAGCATCACAGAAGCTTTCCATCTACAGTCTGTAGAGGGCCTTCTCATGGGATCATCTGAAGACTGGAGAGCTGATGCGCGCGCTGCTCGACTGATAACTGATAACAGCTCTCAGCCATGTGTGTCAGGTCCCCGCTACAATAGCACTGACATTCACAAATGTTCAGAGAACAAGCGGGAACCCAATGTGCCTGTGGCTTCCTCTATTTCTGTTTTGATAAGTGATAGAAGGACTAGGGCCGACTCAAGGCGTACAGCACATGTATCTAATCTGCTCCCGATTAGACATCAGGCTGAGACTGCTAGGGGGCCAAACACAGATACAGTAAAGTCAGCGCTTTTAAAGTCAACATTAAATCAAAATGAATGCTTTCTACTTTCTAATGCACATCCCTGCTTTTATTGTGCACAATTCATCAGTGCAAATGATTCTAATTACTCTAATCTAATCTCTCTGACATTTTATCTCTTATAAATTAGATCTGTTTCTGCTTTAAAAAAGTGAAATGTGAATACAAGCAAACTATTTAAAAATGTTCAAAGAACTTTATTATCCTAAAAATAGCTTTCCAGCAAAAAAAGGTTGTTTTTTTTTTGTACAAACTTAAATTTGTGTAATTCTGTCATATTTTAATTTGGTGGAGCAAATTAGAGAAAAATTGGTTTAATAAATTAAATAAACGTTTAATCTTTAAAAGATTAAAACACTTAAAATCAATGTCAAACGAGTCTGTCAATCTCAATTTCCATACATCTTAAAATGAAATGTATAATTATTCATATAAATACGAGTATGAAAATTAGTCATGTACTCCTAATGCAAATTGAATAAGTAAAACTCATTTAAAACTGATTTCACAAAATTGCGATAACTAATCTTAATTGAGCAAACTGAACAAGCAGCCAAAAATTCTGGGTATATATATATATCTACTTTTGTGTCTATGTACAGTATATATCTAGTCTAGTATATGCTGTATATATACAGAGTCCATCTATTTACTGTACAGAATATAATAAGCAATAATACAGCTATGATACCCCAGTAAAGTTAGGAATATAAATTAGGAAGTCAGGAATATTTGCAATACCTGCACTTTATTTGCTACTGACAGGTTAACTAACCCTCTAAACTAAGGTTGCCTGTAATCTGCTCTCTGACAGCATATGCAATGAGTTAGCATTGTTTTTCACTTGCCAAATCATTTATATTAGAATAGAGATTAGCATGTCCTCATGTAGCACTGGGGTTATACGGCCCCCACAACAACAACAACATAATAATTTAGACACTTTGTATGGTTTTGAGGCAATTGCCTACAACACACTGCAGAATTTTTAAACTGTCGTCCTGCTGTCTTGCTGCCCACATCCTTTTCTGAAAATGTGTTTAACTGTCCAGTAACTGACCTATTAAAAATTGTTTATGGCTCCTTTCAGGCTTCGTTCCTTTGTCTTGAATACTGCAGTTTTTAGTCGCTCCTAAAAAAGAGCCATCTGGATAACTCTGTACTAAACAACTACAGACCTATTTCAAATCTTCCCTTTATAAGCAAGATCATTGAGAATGTACTTTTCAATCAGCACAACAAATTCCTAAACTCAGATGGCTACTTGGAAGATTTCCCATCTGATTTTTGTTCAGATCACAGCACGGTGACGGCACTCGTAAACACAAAATGGCATTTGCCTAAATACTGATTCAAGAAACTATCAGTGCTGGTTTTTATTTGATCTTCATGCTGCTTTTGACACTGACAACCATAATATGCAACTAGACAGACTGGAAAACTGGACAGGACTCTCTGAGATGATCCTCAGCTGATTTAGGGGTTATTACATATAAACAGGCAATTATGAATCTAAATGGACCACCATGACACGTGGAGACCCCCAGGGCTCGATACTTGGACCTCTCCTGTTTTAAAAAAAATCTTAGTTCCAGTATTCATCATATCAAAAACACAATAATTCTGCATGGAAACAAGATTTAGAAAAGTTAATTCACACATTCATTACCAGCAGGGCCAACTGTACTACAACTCCTCGCCAATCTTCCCAAAAAAGACCATTAGATAGCTGCAGCTCATTCTAAGGGCTGTTGTCGTTGCTGTTTTATTAAAAAAAAAATATATATATATAATATGCTGGTCACAAAGTTAATCACTTCATCTACATCTTTCCCCCTGAATAAAGACTCATATGTTTTTCCTAAATATCGTTTCATAAAAGATATCAGTGCCTATTTTTATTAGATCTTCATGCTGCGTTTGACATTGTAAACCACAATATGCATCAGGGCTGACTGGAAAACTGGATATGACTCTCTGAGATGGTCCTCAAATCATTTAGGTCATATTTAGGGGATAAAACATATAAACAGGCAATTATGAATCTAAACGGACATCTATAACATGTGGAGACCCCTAGGGTTCTATTCTCGGACCTCTCCTGTTTTGATAAATCTAAGTTACAAAAAGACCATTAGGATAACTGCAGCTCATTCAAAGGGTTTTTCTTTTATTTATTTTTTTTATTAAAAAAAGCATTTGCTGGTCATCAAGGTCTTGTTCATCAGTTCATCTTTATCTTTTCCCCTGAATAAAAACTCATATGTCCTTCCTAAATACTGATTCAAAGATAATATCAGCGCTGGTTTTTATTAGATGCTGCTTTTGACATCATCAATGACAATATGCACCAGGACAGACTGGGGAACTGAATAGGACTCTCTGAGATGGTCCTCAGCTGATTTAGGTCATATTTAGGGGTTATTACACATAAACAGGCAATTATGAATATAAACGGACCTCTATGATGTGGAGACCCTCAGGGCTCGATACCTGGACCTCTCCTGTTTTTAAAAAATCTTAGTTTCAGTTGTCACGTCAAACCAATAACTAAATCATCCTTTTATCATCTAAAAAAATATGTGAATTCTGCAATCAAACATGATTTAGAAAAATGTACTCACACATTTATTACCAACAGCACAGACACCACTGTTAATCCTCACCAGAATAAGACTATTCCCTCATTCATCTACATCTTTTCCCCTGAATAAAGACTCATATGATGTCCTTCTTATATGATGCACAACGAAGACTCCTCACCAACCAAACAGCTCTTGCAGGTCAAGGACATGAGGCCTAAAGAAGGATTTCAGCTGAAAGAGATCAAATCTATTTAGTGCTAGAGTCCTATTATTACGCTCTTCACATTCGTTTCGCATTTCCCGTCACATTTCATCCAGTCGCGTTAAATATCAGAATTGCTACAGCGCCACTGAGGGTCATGAAGAGACTCAACCATGACTCTTGTTCTGACGGTTGAGCCAGAGCCCAGAATAGAGAGCATTAATACAAGACACATCTTCAAAAAAAACAAAAAAAAAAGGTAGAAATCGGCCCGGTGTAATGTATAGAATTCACAGTGGAGACGTTTACATCTGTCATGTGAACACACAAATATTGCTCTGTACATTTACACTAACGCTCAAAAGATTGGAATTATTATTTTTAACGCTTTTAAAAGAAGTCTCTTCTGATCACCAGGGC